CACTTTGTAGCCCAGGTTGCAGATGGATATTTAAATGTGCTTCAGAGATAATAGCATGACTGTCATGCTAAAATACTATGTGTGGCTTTTGATCTCAATTTTTTTCTGCAAAACCATATAACTGTTGTTTGCTGACACTGTCCGGATTCATCTACAACATCAATGGTTGCTAAGAAATAACAGATTTCTGGCTATCCTTTATGTTTCAAAAAGCTTGGCATTCAGATAAAATTATAATAATTATGTTCACTATTTCCATCACAATGTTAGTGTCACTGATCTTCTCTAGGTGTTCAACAACTGAGGTTTAGAGACCAAACCTAGAAAGGTAATTGGGCAAAGGGGATAGCCAATGTTTTGGCTCTGGCCCTCCAAGGTGAATGAGAACCCAGGACATGAGGGAATCTTTTCTGTGATGGCCTACAACTCTGTTGAGTCACACAACCTCCTGACCAAGGAGATTCCTAGGCCCCAGGGGAAGGGAATACAGTGAACAGTGTGCCAAAGGAGAAAAGTCTCCTATGCTTTCATACAGAGCAATTGGTCAAGCAAAGACCATGACTCATACTGATGGCTGACACTGACAGAGGAGCTGAGAGGCTTTGTGCATGGTTTCAAGTTAAATCCTGAGGAGAAACTGCCTTTGATAGATAGTGAGGCTAATTTTAATGAACACACGTCTCACTTTAACTTGGTCTTAAATACCCAGCAGAAAAGTACAAGCAAAAGATGTACAAAAACAATGCCATAGTAATAAACTAGATATAAAAAGGGGCACCAGTTGTTGACCCCTTGTAGCAGTTTACAGCTACACCAGTACCTGAGCACTGTTATGGGCCATTAAGAAAAACTACAGTAAAATATACATTGATTATACATGCTCTAATTTCCCAGAAAATATGTTTATTCCTGCCTAGAGGTGATCATGCAGATAGAACCAATGACAAATGTGCTAGACTCTTTTACTGGGACCCACCAGGTCAGCCTTACAAAGACAGTTGATAACTGCTAAACTACAACATGACATTTATCTGAGGCCCATTACGTTAGCTCTCTGGAGAAGGCCCCTGACTGTAGTTGCTCCTACACTGACCCTTCTCAGCTCGAGCCAGCTAGGTGAGGACAGTGACCATTCTCCCCTACTTGCAATTAGGGATACTTCTTCAGAGGGAAAATATTATAGAGATCTAAGTTATTTAGAAATATTGCAGGCAGTTAGACAAGGCTGGGCCTTGGAAAGGTCAGTGCAGAAGACAACTGTGGAGGGTGGTGCAAGTATGAAAACAAAAAGAGAGAATATGATTACCTCACCATGCATGATTAGATTTTGCTATCTTTACCTTAAATTTTAAAAGCCTAGTTGCAGAAATTAAATGCCCACCATCAGAACATCATTGGCAAAAGGATAAATCTGATGAGCATGCCTAGGGCTCAAGCCCTATAGAAGAAAATCCAAACAGGAAAGTGGGATGGTCTAGTGCAGTGAACAACATGGGTTGAGGGTATGCTTGTGTCAACAAACAATGGAACACCATTATGGCTGCCCTCCTGGAATGTGTGACCATGGAGAAAGGAACATCCCAGCCTCACACTGAATCCTGTTCCTGTCTGGCCCTCCAGTGCTAGCATTCTCAAGGATGACCCTTGAAATAAGCCTGACATCCCTTGTACTGAGATCCACACAGCTACAAAACCCATGACAAGGGGACAACTAAAAAAGATAACACAGGAGGCTCACATCCTGGTGATGTGACAGGATCTCCCACAAACTCCTGAGAATGTTTGTTGCTGTGATGGCTATCATATCCTGTATGCTGTTTCAACTGCTGCAATTACAAAAACAAAAAGGGGGATATGTTGGGGACTACAAATTCACAATGGCTAATTTTGTGTACTTTCCTAAGGGGGAAGGCTTGGGATGGAGGCTTGTGATTATTACCCTTTTGAGATTTTCCATTAAATCTTTAGGGATAGGCCATCCTCTCCCACCCACTAAGACTAAACTAAGACCACTAAGATTAAAAACACTACAGGGTATGATCTTTCTTAACATGGGATGATCTCCCCTCTCCTGAATTATCCCAGGATTATGCATTGCCCACTCCGTCATAGACATTTGAGTCTTTTTTTTTTTTTTTAACAGACAACCTTTTACAAAATAGCAAAAGAACAGTACAGACAATACAGAGTTACAAACAAAGTGGTAGGAAATTAACAATGCTTCTTGTACTACATATTGATATCTTCAAAGTGGTTTCTCATGAAAACAGATAGAGACATGCAATATTAATCAATCAAGGACTCATTGACATTTCCACCAACCTTGAATCTTCTGCTGTCCCCTCTTATCACTGTATGTACCTAAGGAATTATGGTTGGTTTAGAGTGTCTCTGTCTCTGTCTGTCTCTGTCCTCAAGCCATCCTTCATGCATTACTAAATTTGTCTCTGTTTCTTATTTCATCTTTTCACAGTAACCCTCATACTGGCAGTTGGGGATTTTGGCTAGGTCATCAGTAATCAGAGACACTTATGACTGACCAGGCAGGGGCTCTTCACCTTCTCTGCTTTCAGACTTCTCCAAACTTCCCTGAGGAACACGGCCTCCACTTTCATCTTCCACAGGGGTGTCCTGCAGAGCCCTCTCTAGAAGCAGCTTCAAGGTCTGCTTCTTCAGCTGCCTCCTGAAGGCGCCAACAAAGAAGTAAATGATGGGGTTGGCGCAGCTGTTCACAGAGGACAGGACAACCGAGGCCAAGTACAGACCATAATGTAAATTCTCACTAAAATTATCATGAGTCCAGATGAACACGAACCAGTAGATGCCCAAGGGCAGGCCACAGAGGAGGAACGCCAGCACCGTGAACAGGACGGTCACATAGAGTCTGGTCAGCTGCATCTGCTGGGAGCCACACAAGAATCTGACCAGCAGGACCAGGCTGGACCCTGAGAGAATCAAAACTAAAACAGCCAGGCATGCGGCAGTAAAAAAGTTAGCTGCCAGACACTCGGCACTGTTAATGTGGATATCCATCACACCACAATAAATCTTGTTCAGAATGCATACCATCAGGGACATGGCCCAGAGCAGGGCACACACAGCAACCGACATGTGTTCAGGGCGGCGGAAGCGATACCAGAGGGGATACAGGACAGACAGGCAGCGCTCAGTGCTGATGGCACTCAGCGTGCTCAGGCCTGTGATGTAGGGAAACATCATCACGGTCTTATAGCAGGGCAGGAAGACAACCTCGGGATGGAAAAATTTGATGATTACCAGCAGGGAATCTATAATATGGCAGCAGAGGAAGAGGATGTCGGCTGCAGCCAGGTTGAGGATGTAGATGGAGAAGGTATTCTTGTGCATGCGGAAACCCAGGAGCCAGAGCACAACTGAATTTCCTGTGAGTCCAGCCAGTGCAGAGATGATGATCACCACGTTTGGGACCAGATCTTTTTCACTGAAAGTTCCAGGAATGCCTCCACCTTTTCCTTTCATTGTCTCCCCAACTGATGTGTTTGGATCCATGCTCAGAAGCCCTCCACTGGTGAGCCTGGAAGACAGACAAGATATGAGCACCTGGTGCAGGACCCCTGATTCTCAGGGACACCCTGCTATGTAGGGATTACTTTCTCCATTTTGAAGAGGAGGAAAACCAGATTGGAGCCATTAGGCAACCTATGAAGAGCAGGGGATTCCTGGAGTATGCATTCAAATTCAGTACTCATTGTCTGAATATCCTGAACCCTCTGTCCTGCGCCTCAGTCCCTCTAAACAATATGAAAATATAGAAGGGTAGAGACACTCCCTCTCAGTGTGCTAAAGTGATGGACCTAGTACTATTCTGCCCTACTTTGTTAAGAATTTTTCTCCCTGTTGCAGAAACTAAGACAGACAGAGAGGTCATTATGACATCCCCTTGACTAAGATGTTTCAACCCAAGGAATGCTCTTTAGGGTCAGGAGGGTAATGTGAGCTCTTGCTAGGTCAGGTATGAAGACAGCTGGGTCAAGAAGTGGCTTAGTGTGTCAGGCATTGAAAACAAGAGCCAGTCGGTTGTGGTGGCACATGCCTGCAATTCAGCAGGGATTCAAACCTAGCCTGGGTGATGTAGTGACTTAAGGCTAGGGGTGTAGCTCAGGGTGAAGGCAATGGAAATACTGAAAACAAAACAAAACAAAACAAAAAAAATTCTAAAGTATCTCCTAGCTCAGCTTCTGTCCATGGGTTCTCAATATTTATTCACTGAATGAATAAGTATATGAATGGGAAGCATTAGATTATTGGGTTTAAATGGAAAAAAAGGCATTAGAGCACACTCATATGAGATGAAGAAAATTTCATTCATCACAACCCTTGTGGATAGCTCTGTGTGTATTTAGACTACCCGTGTATGCTCAGAAACTGATGTTAGCCACTAAAGGGCCTTTGAAGTGAGGATCCAACATAGCTTTGTTGAGCACCTAGTCACATGTAGGTACACAATGTGGCAATAGGGTTTGTGTTTGAGCTGAAGTGCTCAGGAGTATAGAAGAGGAAGTACTGAGAGTGATGTCTGAGTGGCGCTGATATGAGATAATTCAAGTATGGGTCCAATGGAGGACTACTTAGTGGTACACTGTGGAGTGTATAATACAAAACTACCCCATCCTCTCTCCCAGGAGATCTTTAGCAGAGTATTCTTTGTTGATGAAAGTTTTGTGTGGGAAGAGTGTATGAGAGGAAATAGAAAGTGTGCTGGACTGGCGGTGTAAAGAGAGCTGCTCATGCAGATTTCAGCTATAGAGAAAGGACCAGCTCACATCTTAGTGATGAGCAGGAACTGACAGAGTTTGCCAGGTATTTTCCAAGGTAAGAATTAAGACTGTCCCCATTGTACAGAGAATGGAATTTCAGCACCAACAGGATGAGTGACTAGCCCCTGATCTCACCCAGTGTGAGTTTAAACTCATTGGGTTCAACCTTTTCATCTGCCCCTTGGCTCCCTCACCCCTCTGTGTTCATTACAGATGGATGAGGGAAAAGCAAATGAGTAATTCCCGAGCCATATCCAAGATGGCAGTCAAAATTATAGATGGAATAAAATCAAACATAAGCAGCTTAGAGAAACATAGAGGAAAAGAAACCAGTCACATAGGGAACAAAGATGTGGGTGTAAGTCAATTAGGAACCTTGTGATAGCAGCTACCACCAAGCAATGCAGCCATAGCTTTAGAATCCAGAGGATGCACTGGGGTAGGAGGCCCTAAGATAGAAAGAGGCCTCATCCTCCTGAGGATGCAGAGAGGCATCCATAAGTAAGTGTATTCATCATGAACTCTCTTAGCAAAACAAATTCCCACAGCTTTGGTTGGCTTGAGCCAGAGAAGGAAGAAAAGCAGAAGTTCTGTTGTCCCTACTCAAGCTACTCTAGAGTTTGAACATCTATTTTTAGGGTGTGATGTATTTGTTCGTTTCATCAAACACAAAGGTCTGTAAGGACTGAGTCGTATCTATTTTATTTACTAACTACTGTACCAAAAAATTTAGCATGTGTCCTTAAAAGTCATTTACTGTGATATCCTCAGTTCATACTGGAAGAAACTGAGAAACAGATAAAGAGACTTTCCAGGGATCACATCACCAAGAATAGGCCCAGTAGCCCATGGCCTCCTTGAGTCCTGTCTGAGGCTTCTCCACTGCTCTTGGCCCCATTTTTTTTTTTATACTCCACAAAAATCTTCATATGAACACAGAACCTGAAAGAACATCAGGGACTGTAGGTTCTGCTAGAGTCTCCCAGTCACCATTCTTCTCTAATAGAGTGGTTCTCTGAATTTTAAGTCTGGAAAAGGACTCCATTTCCTATCCTTTTTTGTTGTTGTTTGTTTTTGGTACCGGGAACTGAACTCAGGACCTTGCGCTTGCCAGGCAGGTACTTGTGCCACTGAGCTATATCCCTGGCCCTTCCCATCCCCTCTTAATGCTGATGGCAAAATGTTACTGGGCAGTGACCAGTTGGGAGGTGAATATGGTGGAGTAACCAACTTCTGGGTCACTGAATAAATAGGTATGTAGCATAAGTATAACCTCCAATTCCCCTCTATCTTTTCCTGCCAGGTTTAGTAGATATAACTAAAGAACAAAATAATTATGGTTCTTCTTTAGGGTTGGGAGTAGCAATTTTCTAGAAGTCCTTAGATCCGATGCTTTGAAGCTTCCAACAAAATCCTAATAAAGCTCTTGTTGAGGTCATCATTATAATGGTTCTGTATTTTAGTAACTTCAATTATTATGTACTCAGTAAGGAATGTGTTCCCCATTTAAATTAAATTCCATTTTCAATGCATTTTTTATCAATATGCATGATTGCTTCATAAAAGTAAAAACAAGAAAAAAATAACTTTGATGAAGAGGGGATGAGAAATTATTAAATGACATTAAATAGAGGAAAATCTCAGGGAGTAGGAAGACATAAGATATAAGGGTTAGTCTCAGGTACCATGAGAATCTTCTTTCCACGATTCTCTGCCCTGATTGGCATCCCAGGAGGGTGGCTTCTACGAACCTCATCAGTGGAATTCTATTCCTCCTTATTTCTGGTTGAACTGAGCTACTGAGTGACACCCCCACAATAAAGGACAGGAGGAGAGGGGTTTGAGATTTTCATCTCCCACTGTCTTATAGGAGGCTGTGTGTTGGCAAAGGGCGGTGTTTCTCCCCTTGATGATAATCTTTGTTTACTACTGCAGTTGTAGCTATGGCTGTTTCTGTCTGGAAACTGCTCCCTCCTTTGTCCATTACAGCTTATGGCCAGAAATAATGCTTTATTGTTACTTATCTTAAGGCACTTTCGATGCACTGCCATTTTCCCTTAACCCAGCCCATCTTTGTGGTCTCCCCTAAAGTACTTCTTAATTATCCCAGTTTGAACCATCTGTTTGTTCCTGGAACCTTGAGAGATACACAAAGGAGAAGATTTTTGAAAAGCAACTAAAGTAAAATGAAACCTCTCCATAGCATGTCAGCAGTGGTAAGCAATACCTGCGTATAACCTTGCAATCTCTTCCTGTCTGCAGATTTGAATGTTTGGAATAAAAGGGAGAATCTAAGGACTTCAATCAAGGGGGAGAAAGGTCTCGTTAAACCCATTTGAAACTCCGAGTTTTGGCTACACCGTTACCCAGTTTTCAGAAAAAAGCTTCTGTCTCTTGCCTTTTTCTGAAGGAAGTAACATGACCCCCTGCATGTGGAACCCTGTTGCAGAAACACAGGGATGTGAACTCAGAGCAAACACTGCAAGAGGAAAGAGCTTTACCTTTCTTCCATTCTCTTGTCCAGAGGTGGAGAGCTGACGAGTGCTGAGGTGGAAGAACCTTTCTCAGATCGAGTGACACAGGAATATGCTTCTTTGTCCCTAATTCCACGATGTCTACAAGAATTGGAGTAAAAGCTTGTGACCAAATGAGGCTTATCAAGATTCTGGAACGTTTGTGTGATTTCCTATACAGGTCCTGGAAGCAAATTAGAAACCAGAGTTGTTTGAAACCTGATCCACTCCTAAGATATTTCTTGGTGTCTGCTATGTTTCTACTCACATATTGGTTTTTCCCATCCCATTGCAAGTGGTCCACTTCCCTCTAAGTACTTGCTATTCTGTCCATTAATTGCCAACCTCAGTCCTAGGTAGCCATAAAAAGCAATGTTATCTCTCCCTGTGGGGCTTTATAACTAAAGAGTAAGGAGCTGTGTCATCAAGGCTCATCAGGGGCTGACTGCATTTTTAAAAAAAGTATTTTCATTATCATAGCAGTAATGCAGTTGTGTGTAAACTTTTATTCCAAATGACAGAGTAATGTGTACGAGATGATATTCTCCCTGAATCACATGCTCCAGAGGTCACCTCTTTCTACCCTTACTCATTCTTCTTTCTTTTATTATTGTTAGCTATTTTTTCCACCCTGAAAACAAGTTTTATTTAAATTAGGGCTTAAATACATTACATAACATCCAGACTGGAAGGGAAAAATAAAACCAAACCCAGTTTGCTACTTCACATGTTGTCGGGCAGCTGCTGGAAGCAGGTTGCAAGCTCTGTAGCCCGCAACACGGGTCACATTAGGTCGGTGTGTTCCCTTGTCAGAAGTTTAACTGCACCGGGCTGGCCTCTTTTGTGCTGGGCTGTGATGTCCCTTAGCTAGGATGTCCGGGTCAAAAGATCTTGGTGGCCAGCTGGGTGTGTTACCACCTCGCAGGAGGGAGGGTGACCCCAGTTTTGTCCCCTGGTCAGGTTGGACTCTGGGGCTTTTGGCTGCCAGAGGGTTTCCACTAGTGTCACAGCCACACTGCGGTCTCCCCCGGCGCTCTCCTGGGTCACCGGGGCTGCTCGGATGAGGACCTTCTAGGGGTGGGGACTGTGCAGAGGGAGCTCCTGGCCAGACATAGCTCCCTCTGGTCTAGGGGCTCTGCCAAAACATCACGTACTGCTGTTCCAGCAACACACTGTCCGCTGCTCACTGCGTGAGCTCTGTTCAAATGCGGGACTTTCT